TTCAACATACAGGCAATGTGCAATTCTCAAATAACGTTGTTTTAACTGAAGTGTTGCCTATTCCAGTATTCCATTATAATCTATTATCAGTAAACAAACTTTCACGAACATTCCTGGCAGTTCGAAAGGTGATTGGAAGGCTTTACATCTTGGATTCCAGTAGTCTAAACCCAGAATTGATATCTTATCACAAAAAATTGTTACTCGAAAATAGTACTCTAAGTTCCTTTCATGTTTCATGTAATAACAATACTGAATCAGTTTCTAATGAAAACTCTTTGCAAGCTGCCTCACTTTAGCACAAGAGACTTGGGCATATTTCACCCACAATCATGTCACACTTGAATTTCATTAATAAAAAAGATTGTTCATTACTGCCTCCTTGTGATGTTTGTCCATTAGCTAAGTAACACAGGTTACCTTTTCCAATTAGTAAAACCAAGTCCACAAGACCTTTTCAACTACTTCATCTTGATGTTGGGGACCCTACAACCAAAAATCTTTGACAGGAGCACAATATTTCCTTACTATTGTTGATGACTTTAGTAGAAGTGTTTGGACTTTCTTATTAGCACATATGTCTCAAGTCACCCACACACTGACAAATTTCTTTAAATTCATTGAGATCCAATTTGATTCTGTCATCCAAAGTGTGAGATCTGATAATGGGACAGAATTCACTAACCAAGAGTGTCATAACTTTTTTTTTTTTTTTTGGAAATGCATTTTACACCAGAAAACTTCTCCTTATACTCCCCAACAAAATGGGGTTCTAGAAAAGAAACATAAACACCTTTTTCAAATTGTAAGAGCCTTGATCTTTCAGTCTCATTTGCCCAAGAATTTTTGGGGGGAGCCATTTTTATTTGCCACCTACATTATTAACAGATTGCCTACTACTTCAGTGAATTGGAGAACCTCGTTTGAACTTCATTTTGGCTATCCTCCTTCATATACTTCATTAAGGTACTTTGGTTGCTTATGCTATGCAATAAACATCATCCCACACAAGGATAAATTTGATCATAGGGCTATAAAGTGTGTGTTTCTTGGTTTTAATGTAGGACAAAAAGCATATAAATTATATGACATTCAATCTAAGAAAATTATTGTTTCCAGGGAAGTCACTTTTTATGAAAATATTTTTCCATATTATTCTATACATGAGTCTACACCATTACTTCTTGTCTCTAGCGCAGATGATTTCCTAGAACTAGATGTTTATCCATCTTCTACACATGATATTCCAACCACATCTTCACCCAGTCAACATGAAAGTCCTGTTACCGTTGATTCTGATCACGCTCCTTTAATTCAATCACTTCGAAGAAGCACTAGGACCAGACTTAAGCCAACTTGGTTGTCTGACTTCGTTTCATCTACTATTCAATCACCATCAGCTGCCATATATGACAATTCATTTTCTGTAGTTTTTGCAGGTCGCCCTTATCCCATCAATACTTACCTTTACGTCGCTAATGCACGTTTCAGTGATCAGTACATGAGTTTTTTAGCAAACATATATGTTCAGAACCATGCTCTTATGAACAAGCCAGTATAAATTCAAAGTGGGTGGATGCTGTGCAAAGTGAATTGGATTCTCTTGGAAAGAACAACACTTGGGTTCTAACTACTTTGCTTGCTAGTAAGAAGGCTATTGGTTGTAAGTAGATATACAAAATTAAGTACTTAGCAGATGGCACAATTGATAGGTTCAAGGCTAAAGTTGTTGCAAAGGGATACAACCAAGTAGCAGGGGTTGATTATTTTGATTTTTTTTCTCCAGTATCCAAGGCAGTGACAGTCAGAATTTTCTTGGCATTAGCAAGTGCAAGAGGCTGGCCCATTTATCAATTAGATATTAACAATGCGTTTCTTCATGATCAATTGCATGAAGAAGCGTATATGATTCCTCCAGATGGTTACACTAAAATGAAAAATAGCCAGGTTTGCAAGCTAATTAAATCCTTGTACGGATTGAAGCAAGCTTCTCGGGAATGGAGCTATGAATTATCCTCACAATTGCAACAATTTGGATTCGTCCAATCTGAAAATGATAATTGTTTATTTGTTAAGAACACTAAGCACTCCTTTACTGCTTTATTTGTATATGTTGACGATGTTTTGGTTACAGGCAATGGTGAGCAGGAGATCGATGCTGTCAATGCATTTTTTGATACTAAGTTCACAATTAAGGACCTTGGCGTTGCCAAATACTTTCTTGGTATATAAATAGCTCGTTCAGAGGCTAGCACCTACTTGAATCAAAGAAAATATATTTTGGACATTCTTGCAGATGTTGGTCTACTTAGTGCAAGACCAGCATGTACTCCCTTGCCCAAAGGTCAATCCTTAGTTGCAGATACAGAGAATCTATTTTCAGATCCGGAACAATAGAGAAGATTAATTGAACGACTTCTATATTTGAACTTCACAAGACCTGATCTTACTTATGTTGTTTGACCTCAGCCAGTATGTTAATGCCCCATCTCAGTCTCATTGGAATGCTAACACTACATGTCTTGAAGTATTTAAAGAATTCACCTTCCAAAGGTCTTTTCCTACAAGCAGAAAATAACTTCTAATTGCATGCTCTCTGTGATGCAGATTGGGCTGCATGTCATGATACAAGGAAGTCCTTGATTGGCTATTGTATTTTCCTCTGATCATCCTTAATGTCCTGAAAAAGTAAAAAGCAGGTCACTGTCTCTCGCTCATCTGCAGAAGCTGAGTATCGCAGCATGGCTGCAACAGTTTGTGAGCTCAAATGGATTATATACTTGTTACATGATTTTGGCATATCTGTCTCTTATCCTATTCCATTTTTCTGTGACAATAAGACAACTCTTCATATCGCTGCTAATTCCGTGAACTTAAGCAGGGCTTCATTCTCCCTCAACACGTTTCCAGTAGGCAGATATCTTCACCAAATCTCTTCCATCTCCTCAGTTTCATTATCTTCCTCCAAGTTGGGATTGGTAGACTTTCACCAATCTCCAACTTGAGGGGGGGGGATGTAGATTATGATGCGCTAGCATACACGACTTCATTTTTTTTTTTTTTTGCAATTTTATTTCAGGTTGTATGGTAGTTTTCTGTGCTGAGATTTTTCCTGTTATTCATTTTGTGCTGGCATTTTTCTTCTCACCATACGGAGTGAAGCAAATATGGGTTGGATATGGTAGCCTTTATTAAGGGACCAAAGAAAGGGAACTTATATAGATTAATTCCACATGCTTTTTAATAAATAAATAAATATATATATAATTTAACTAATTAAGGGTAACATTTTAGCTCATTAATTACTTTAATAATAAGAAATGTAATTCTTTTAAGTTACATTAATATAATTTATCTACATAAAAAAATTATTAAATAATTTCATAAGTTAATGAATTAAATTACAATAAAGAGAAAATTTCGGAGTTTATTACAACAAATCTCATAATTTAGAAACGAAATTAAGAATATCTGAATAATTTTTAATGGCTTTTTAAATTTTTTTTTACTTTAGTAAGAAATATTTTTAAACAGGATTATATGCAGATTTAGGATTTGAAAATTACATTTTCAGAGGGATGGGGCAAATGCCACTTTATTTCCTTCCCTTGTCATATTATTTCACCGCTCTCCCAAACAGACCCTTATGCTTGGTTCGTGCCAGTATCAAGATCTCTGTGTCAGTGCGCAGTTGACCCCTAGATCTCTCCCTCCGTTTTGGACAGCTCCTTTAAATCTTTCGGTAATTTTGAGGTGATAGGTAGTTTGTTGGCTGGGAGTAGTCGATTTTGGCGGTAATGGCGGGAGGAGTTAACAGGAAGATATCAGCAGCATCGGCGAGAGCTCACACTAGAAGAGCTAAGCAGAACAGTTCGTTCAAGCTTCCGTCAGGTAGGTTTCGTTCCATTTCACCTGTTATCTGATCTGATGGTGCTAAAACAGTTTCAGTTTACATCGGTTGGATCGAAGGCTGAACAATCAGCAACGAAGATCGACCTCATTGTTGTTCTGTGGATTGTTTTCTTCAGCTCTTGATTGATGTGTTTGGTTGATGTGAAAGTACAGGGAAAAGATGGAATTTAATATTTGGATCCTAGTTACTTTATTATAATCAGATAGGAATACTCTAAATTGCTTGTTGAGTCGTTGACTCAACTCAGAGTTAAGCTGAAGGGATTCACTGAGGCAGCAATTCAATTTTTGATTTCTTTTGGTTTAAGACATAAGAATTTAGGCTTCATCATGTTTGTTCTGCGAGTTGATGGATTATTAACGAAATTAAGGTATTCGAATTTGAACACAGGATCCCTGAGATAGCACGTAATCGTTAAGACAAATTAAGGAAATAAAAAGAAATTTGAATTAATTTATTGAAGTAGATTCTCTCTCATGATGGTAGCTAGGCAGACTCTTTGTAGTTTTGAGCTTAAGTTGTTAAACTCCAATTTAATTTCTGAAAGTTCAATGGTTTTGATTTGGAAGAAGAATAGATATCCTATTACCTAAAATGAGCTATATATTTTACACTTGGTGAATTTACAGTAGCTAGTTCTTCATTTTTCTTTCCGTTGATCTTCATTTTGTACTTGCTTGAGTTTGAGATTCAAAAATTCTGGGCTGCATTTGGAATTTTAACACAAAAATTTCAGGGATATTTACAAAGATACTATTGGTATTCTTTGTTGGGAGTTTGGCATGGGCTTATCAGGCAATCCAGTCTCCACCACCCAAGATTTGTGGGTCTCCAGATGGCCCCCCTGTGACAGCACCAAGAATAAAGCTTAGAGATGGAAGATACTTGGCTTACAAAGAGCATGGTGTTCCGAAAGATAAAGCAAACTATAAAATTGTTTATGTCCATGGAATTGATGGTTGTAGACATGATTCTCTTCTTGTCAACAACCTCTCCCCGGTAACTTAAAAAAATTGTTTTCAACTTACATGTATTTCCTAAGCATTAAGGATCGTCATGCTAATGTTGTTGCCCATCTGCTGGATTTTCCCAGGATATTATGGAAGGCCTAGGGGTCTACGTTGTGACTTTTGACAGACCAGGTTATGGAGAGAGTGATCCTGATCCAAAACGAACACCAAAGAGCATAGCTTTAGACATGGAGGAGCTTGCTGATCAGCTGGGGCTAGGATTGAAATTCTATGTAATTGGCATTTCCATGGGTGGGGAGGTAATATGGACATGTCTCAAGTACATACCTCACAGGTATTATTGGGTAAATTACATAAATTTAAGAAAGAGCATTTATTAAATGCGAATGTGTGCATATCTTTACATTGACTTTTTGCTTTGTTTCTCTTACATAACAGGTTAGCTGGAGCAACATTGTTAGCTCCTGTTGTTAACTACTGGTGGCCCAACCTTCCTGCAAATTTGACGAATGAAATCTACTACCAGCAGTTACCTCAAGATATGTGGACGCTACGTATCGCTCACTATGCTCCTTGGCTGACCTATTGGTGGAATAACCAGAAATGGTTCCCTGCATCTAGTGTTTTGGCTCATACTGATAATATTTTTTCTCGACAAGACAAAGAGTTATTGCCTAAGCTTTCCGCAAGAATGGAATATGCGGTAATTATCTTTTTTCTCATATAAAGAAAAATGAAAAGAATACCTTCCATTAGTTCTCTTGGTTCAGAATCCAAATCGCAAATTGAAAAATCAAACAAATAGTCATCACATTAAAAGAAGAGCCTGCATTGTCTAAAAATCATATGTTTTTTGTCTCTCCAGCATTGTCAAACATTTTAAGTTGCCAAATTTAAAATATTTCCGAAGTTGAAGTCTCTAAAATTCTTCTGTTCTGTTAATTATTCAGTGTAAATGGCCATGAAAATTTAGGACACAGTGAGCATGATTTGACTTAAAAATTTTTTGTTTCACAATAAAAGCCAAGAGAATGTTTATCTTAGATATGCATAATTGCATTCACTTTGTATCAGTAAGTTTGTGTTGTCTTCTTCCTATCTGATCATGGCACTTTGGGTGGGTCTTGAGTCTTTTGTTATGGGAAAACCAAAAGATATTTCCATGATTCTTATACTTAATCTCAGTAAGTATTGTTTCGTAATGACCTTTGGTTGGTTCAGATTGGGTCTCTGAAGGAATATATCCTTTTTTTTTCCAAGAATTATGTTTATCACTGTTCCGAGAGCCTGTTTTTCTTTTTATTTCCCTTTCTTTTATATTTCTTGTTGAAAATATGGAATCTTATATCGCCCTTCCCACTTTTAAATGTGAGAAGTTGCAACTAAATATCCCTTGGTCACTAATTTTTAGGCACAATCTCTGTCTGTTGGGACCTAAACTTTCGTTGGTTATGAATTTACCCTTAAATATGAGATTGAGCTATTCTTGTAATTTTTTATGCCTATTCAACGAATTTTTTCTTTTTTTTTGTCACTACTGTAACATAGTATTTGGTAAATACTCTCCTTCCTCTCTATCTCCTCTTTTGAAGCTATTGTTGGATTTATCATTTCTCCTGCCATCATATAGTGATTTTATTTTTCCTATATATTGCATAACTGCTTTCTTTATGATTCTTAGGCACAAATCAGACAGCAAGGAGAATTCGAGTCTGTCCATCGTGACCTGATTGTTGGATTTGGCACTTGGGAATTTGATCCTATCGATCTGGAAAATCCATTTCCCAAAAATGAAGGTTCTGTTCACCTGTGGCAAGGGGATGAGGATACTTTGGTGCCTGTTGAACTACAGCGCTACATTGCCCAAAAGCTTCCATGGATTCATTACCATGAGCTAAAAGGTGCTGGACACTTCTTTACAGTTGCTGATGGTATGAGCGATGCTATAGTAAAAGCACTTTTAGTTGGAGAGAAGTAATCTGACATAGTATATCTGGGGCTATCTCAGGTTAGTTTATCTTTGCAATTTAGTTCTTGCAGTGTCGAAGCTTCTGTATCGGATATTAAGGTCCCAATGATCTGTTTCTCTCTGAAAATGCAAATTCTGAGGTTCAGTCTTTTAAAGTAGCTTGCACATTAGTCATTTCTGATTAGATTTTGTTAGACATCTCTCCATTAAAAACCTAGACAAAACATCTAGTTTTCATAAGTCGTTTGTTTACATTTATTGACGCGTTAGTTAGACATGCAAAGCAAGAGGGCTTGGCAGATGAATCTGATGCATGAATGGGTCTGGAACAACAAAGGAATGCATGGAATTTTCAAATGAGCTCTTTTTACATTGTTTTGCTGTGAAAGAATATGCCCTTTAGATGGTTGCATTCAACCATTAACTGATATTTACAAAACTGACAGGACCACTAATGAATATGGTGACAACTGCATGCAATTCTAGTATCTTGCACCAGACAATCGATGTACTTTTTTAACATTTCCTCCTCAAGCGGCCTACAAACAAATTCCTTATTTATCTCCTTCAAATGCCTTAATACCAGTAACCAGTGAATAAATCTTGAACATATTCCATGTTTTTTTTGAAGAAAGAAGTTACTTGAATCATGATATAGATTCAGATGTGAGGTTAGTAAAATGGGATTTGACAGTTCAGAATTTTATGTAGCTCTTCAGGGAGGGAGGGACTTGTAAAATTGTAAAATTGGATTTGAAACATGAAGAGTCAAATGAACAAAAATTAATTAAAATAGTAGGCCAAGCAAATTTTTAATGATAAACCCACCAAGAATTTTAGTTGGCTGCTTAATTTCAGAAAATTATAATTTTAAATTTCAAATGCGTTCTAATAAGTCATTACTGGTTGGAGTAAACATTTTCTAAATTTATTTTAAAAATTAAAAAAAAATCTAATCTAAGGAATAGGAATAGAAAATCCTAGAAGTAAACATTATCTTAGACCTTTCACTGTTTTTAGAATGCAAATGAGAAACTCCAGCCTAATAACATAATTTGATAAATAAGTAAAATTAAAATTCCTTCACATTACACAACGGGAAAATTAATTTAAATTAAGATTACATAACAGCCAGAAGCATTTAGGTACTATCCTCCTTGGATCTTTCCAGTAAGTAAACCCTTCAGACAACATACAGACAAGCACGTGAAACGACATCGCATTAAACCTTTTTGGGATCAAATCTTCTCCTCATCGTCCCAATTTGCTTATGACTCATCCCAAAAGCCTTTTCCAAAAGCTCTTCGTTAATTCCAGACCCGAAAATAGCAGAAGGTATCTTCTGCAGACCCGGGTTCTGACTGTTCAAGCTACAAAAAATGGTGGCAGACTCATCGCCGACATTCATCTGAAAGTGAACGAGTCCTTTCGGAAAAACCATCACTTCTCCTTCCTCGATCACCCTTGCGAAAAGCCGGTTGCCCGAATCCACAAACCCTGAATACACACTTCCTTTCACCACATAGGCGATTTCGGTTGCTCGCGGGTGAAAATGGGGCGGGTTAATGGCTCCGGATTTGAGGTCTGCTCGAACAAATGACATCCCAAGCGTGTTGAGTCCTGGAAAAACTGAAGGACTGACGGGGATGGTGGCGAACCCAGTTTCTGTGAAGTTCCCCGGAGACTTCACGCCGGAGAAGACGAAGTCATCTGTGGTTGCTTCCGATGAGTTTTTGCAAGGAAGGATAGTTAAGTGTTCGGTTCTAATGAAACCGAATTTCGGGTTCGGTATACAGAAGTCTTGGATTGGGTCAGGGTCGGAGGCTTCAGCTGCGTAAGCATGGAGGGAGATCATAACTGTAACAACTAATAAAATTAACGGCTTTGATGGAAACACCCTCATCTTTACTTGTAGTTAATTAGCTAGGTAGCTCAATGTAGAAGTCTCACTTGGTTTTCATGAGGGCTTTGCAAGGGTTTATATAGATGAAAACTGCAAAAGAACTTGTATCTATATACGCTCCATTTACATATATACATGCATCATTTACATATATATACACATATACATAGTCACATTATGAATATAGGCATAATGTAAAAGCAGCAAGATTTATTCCAGGAACATAGGGCTATGTTGTGCAAGAACTGTTTATAACATAATTATATGAGTAGGGTCTCTTGTTAACAATTTCATGCGATGATACTTTCTGCTGCTATACACACACACACACACACACACGCATATATATATATATATATATACATGTATAATATTATTTTCAAGTGAATAATGAATTGTTCATCGTGGGAAGCTATCTATATCTTCTCTAGTGCTTAGAAGATGATTGATTATATTATATATGACATCGGTGATCGTTATGATGATTGTATTACTATATAGTCATAATTCTAATAATATAATAATATTAAATAAATAATATTTTTTTAGCGTCGACAATGCATGCAATAACAGTTTGACATAGACCGACACGCGGCAAAGCAAAATAATTAGAGCTATTAATTCGATTTAATTTTGTAATTGGAAAATTACATATTTTATTTATTTAAGTTGTTTTAACATATAGAAATTTTTTTAACTTGTAGAAGTTTGACTCAGAAAAAAATAAATCACTTTATCCCGTCATCACGATCTTTTCCACATCAGCTAAATATCAAGTTACTTGGGAACATGAGAGCTCTTACTTTTGCGTTTTTTATAATAAAAAATTGTTTGTCTTATTTTACATACTAAGATAAAATTCAGAAACAAATACAAATTACTGTGTGTAATTATTTCGAAAGAATCATAACCGTTCTTTGCTTGTGAATCAAGGGAAGAGAAGGGTGAATAATAATCACATGTAATCATCAACTTTTATGAGATGATTCTTTTACATACATATATATATATATATATATATATATATATATAAGTGGTGAGACTCATGCGGAATAAGATCATGGAGAGGACAAAGAAAACGGTGCCCCCATTACGCGTATCACATGGAATATCATCATTTATATTGACCTCAATTAGATTCATGCTGAGCTCCTTTGAGCCATGCGTTGCTTATTCAAGCTGTCTTCAGTTTGTATGGATATTTTACCAAGCTGTCTCAAATTTTCAATCTGAAAATAAAATTTTGTAAGTAAATAAATATTTTACTGAAATCTAAATCCCCTAAAATATCAGGCAAAACTTCATCGTCGTTCTCATAGTATTATAGACTATCTTTCCAGACTGCAAGGAGATATTATCATTAAAGCAAAAGCACAATCACAGAGCAGACAGAATTTAAGTATTTTGGTTAAATTCAATTCTAACTTTTTGTTAGTCAAGTATTAGAATTATTTACAAATTTTAAATGGATTCTAAAAATTAAATTATAAAAAACAGATATTAAATTGGGTTAAAATGTCTGAATACACAGACAACAAAACAAATAAAAAAGATTACAAGGCTTCTCCACACCACAGAAGAACATTACAACAATACCATCACTATGATAAGAACAAATAATTTTTTTTTCAAAGAATAATATATTTTATTTTCAAATCAATACTTACATATTTCAAATTTCATCTCTCAATTTCCACATCCTACATTTGTGTAAATAAAATATAGCAAACTCCTCCAAAAAAAATTCTTTTTTTTTTCCAGCTTTGCCTAAAATATTGGGAAGTTTAAGAAGTAAACCGATTAACTTAGGGTACTTATCTTTCTTTATTGTACGATCAGCAACACCAAATGCTAGTCAGTTCCAAATAGACAGAGGATATGCTATATTGCTTCAAAAGACTGCCATACCAAAGTACCGTTATTCTCACCTTGGGGCATAAGCGCCTGAGAATCCTAGGTCAGCATGGCATGACCAATTTCCAGGATCTAGTTATGGGTTGATCGACAACAACGAAATCTGCTAATGTAGATTACTGTTTACTTCATCTTCTATCTTTACCTATTTTTTCAAACATCAAAATATCGGGTCAATTAGAGAGAGAACCAAATAATCTAGTGAGTACCTGAATTCTCATAATTTTCTTGAATAAATTCTGCTTATTTATCATTTCTGCATAATATATTTATTACAACGGAGAAGATAGTATCCTCTAATCCTGGAACTGTTTTTTTTTTTTTTTGAAATAAAAGTATCAATTGTGTATTAGCAAGGTATCAAAAATGGGGGTACCGTCCATATATAAAAATTTACAATCTGATCTTGGAACTGTTTATTTCTATCCTAATATAACTACTAAATTCCCATTCTTACATAACTGATAAATAACTGATGACAATATAACATAATAAATAAACACATAAGATAACCTACGAAAGGACTATACCACCAGCATGTTGGTTTAGTGGCTAAACTTGTAAGCCTCCACTTGACGGTTGTAAGTTCAAACATTATTGAGAATGTAGAGTTTGTCACTCTTTGTGTATTACGGACTGATGATAGCAGATTATAATATTTGATTCAATGATTTAGTGCTTAGATCATTAATGTACTAGTGAAATTATGGTAAACAAATTAGATTCTGTCCCAGTGAGTTATGACAGAAGAAACATCCATGGTGATTAGGTTTTCTTAATGTGTAGCTATAATAGGTTACTAACTGACCTGATATTTTGTTCAGAAAAGGCCCTATAAAAAGACTGCTCTACTATCTCCTTTGGTAGACTTTAGGAAAAGGCACGATGTCAATGGGACACCTAACTTTGTGGTTCAATGTCCTTAGTGGACCCTTACTGTCCAGGGTTTCAATTCCTTGGCTATGCAAATAACATCCCACTTGCAGTACGGAAAAAAACATACTTGCCTTCAGGTAAGAAAAAGGAAAAAGGGAGTTAGGTAGCTCGGTTTCGAGACTTGCACGAAGCTGTGCAGGGCCACCAAAAAAAGTAAAGGGTGATTTAACATCCTAAGCAGCTAAGTCAAGACACTAATAATCTATATCTTAAAGGGAAACATAAAAGATCTAGGACATCTTCTACAACTAATCCATAATCTTCTCCCTTGTCTATATTCAACACCAAAAGTAGTATGCCAGCCTCGCTTCTTTTCTTTCTTGGGGACATGCGTAGTCTTACTAACTGTGCTTTGACCTTATTCCAGTTTAAACTTTTTGCAGCAATTAATACCTTGTGATTTTGTTTTCGTCATTTTACATTTTTGGGATATCTGCACATGTTAAAACTTCTAAATATGAGCACGTAAAAAGTTCAAGAACAGACAAACCAATTCAGGATATAAAAAACATAAAACATTATAAAATAATAGCCTAAAAACTATTAGTTTTATGTAAAATGGGAAAGAAAACTACATAGTTTAAGTTCCCGTAAGAACAAACACAGAAAATAGAACTGTAACCTGATTTTTTTATCAGGGCTAAAATCTGTACAGATCACAGGAGCAAACATTAACCCAATTAGTTAGTTATTTAGAGAACTCAGAATCAGGGGGCGAACCAGTGGAAAAGGAAAAAAAGAATCCATTAAAACAAAGGCATGAAGAGGTGCCACCCATGTACAAAGATTTACAAAATGAGACAGAAGGCAAAAGATTTGAGGGAAAGATGGAGATCGATTAAAATAAAGGCACGAAGGGGTGCCAACTATGCAGAAATATTTACAAAGTAAGGCCAGAAGGAAAAAGTTTTGAGAGAAAAATGGAAAGAAAAAATGGAAATTCATTAAAATGAAAGCACAGGGTGGATTGGTATATTAATATTGAAGACCCAAAGATTTCACCATTAAATCTTTCTAATTCACCAACTGGTTTATTTAAATGACGCTATATAGAAATTCCAGAAAACACAATCTAAGTTTTTCTTTAAATAGTTTATTTAAATGATGCTATATAGAATTCCAGATAATTAATCAACAGTACCATGTGAAGTAAGAGCATGCATAACCTTGGGGTAGGGGGATGTAAGACAGAATTAACCATACCTCTAAGAACAAATTCTTCCAAATAAAATCCCGCTGAAAATAAGAGCCCCAAACCACTTGTTGGAGACAAACCTGCAAGGGTTGGTGAATAATAAATACAACTATTCACTTCACAGCATTGAGCAAATCCTTGAAACTTTAAGACTATATCTGAAACAAATGAAATATTTATGTGGAATTTATTTGGAAATTCACAGTTAAGCTACATTAATGAACTTTAAATTTACATTTGTTTTGCCTATAACAAGATAAATTCCTTGCAGTGATAAAAATTGACTTCCTTGCTAATTCCCCGGTATTGGAGGACAATGTTTGTCATTCTCTAAGGGATTCGTCCTTCCCTATTATAGTTGCACTAAGTCGATTCCAATCATGGGCCAATCATGGGCCAACTTGTCGACTATCATTCTTCTTTGTGTGAAATTGGAAAAAGAAGCTTAGTGGGGAAGATGAGCAAATCTTTACCCAGAAATTGGGTGTTCAGGTCCGAGGACTTGGAATTTAACCCAACCTAATTCCAAGAGATAGGAGATTAACTTTTATCACTTTGTACGCAATTTGCATCTTCTCATAGTTAAAATAAGTGTGAGACTCAAAATTGAATTTCATAAATGAAGTTCATCCGTTCCAACATGGCCTTAGTTTAATTGTGAAAGGACAAAATTTCCTCCCAAACACCGACCCATTAATAATTTCAAGAAGAATTGGAGCAAGACACTCTAACAAATGAAGTTCATTTTTTTGAATATAACCTTAGTTTAACTATGAAATGATAAAAAGTTGACTACTAAAATAATTTAAAAAAGGAACTGAAACAACATATTCTAAATTTTCTAATTTGGTAGAACTTGAAATGGATTATTCCAATCCACTTGAAATTATCTCGTAAGTTAATTTTCATCATCCTAGTTGAACTTAAATGTAAATTTTCAAATAAATTCTACAAAAGAGTTGACATATTTCAATCAACATCCAAAAGATACAAAAAGACTGATATGTACTTGCTACTAGAAAAATAGACCCTAGGCAAAATATCAAGGTAGCACTTATATTTGCCAATGACATCTTATCACTTCCTCAGGATCTCAAACTTCAAGGGATTTACATAAACTTCGGACCAACTAAGATAAAGAAACTAATAAATACAAAGACATTAACTGAATTTAGACATATTTCAATCAATATCCAAAAGATACAAAAAGACTGATATGTACTTGCTACTAGAAAAATAGACCCTAGGCAAAATATGAAGGTAGCACTTATATTTGCCAATGACATCTTATCACTTCCTCAGGATCTCAAACTTCAAGGGATTTACATAAACTTCGGACCAACTAAGATAAAGAAACTAATAAATACAAAGACATTAACTGAATTTAGACATAAAATAACTGAAATCAACCGACCAACAATCATATTCTACAGAGTATCTTTTTATCTGTTAAATATTCTGCATATAAATAAAGGATCAACCTGGATTTGAAATCCTCTAAATGCATCTCTATTATGCGACAAACTACCTGTAGAAAATATAATAATTAGAAGAATAAATTATGATTAAAAATGATTATTTACAACTGTTATATGCTGTAAATAGAGGAACCATTTACCGTTGTTATGTGCTGTAAATGGAGGGAATCACCAACAAATTTTTGTCCTTAGAAACAGAATTTTGTTAGGTTTCTCTCCAGAATTTGTTAGGTTGTTAGGGTAGTAGACTTGTATATATATGTGTGTAAATCATTCATCAAAGAATAAAGAATATTTTCTCTCAATTTTCTTCATGGTATCAGAGCAATACCTGATCCAAAAAGAAATTGATATCAAACTTTGCTGAGCCGTAATAAAAAATGGCCTCGGGTGAGCTTCCATCCTCTCCACCAGAAGTTTCCTCTGGTTCTTATCATCACACAGCAACAACCAGAGCTGTGAGTGAACTACCATCATCCTGTATCACAGGACATGAACTCGATGGCAGCAACTTCCTTTAATGGTCGTCGTCTGTCTGTCTCTTCATCCGCGGAAGGGGGCATTATGGGCACCTCACTGGCGAGCTCATGCCTCCTCTAGCGTCCGGTGCAAATGCACAAACCTAGGAGATCGAAGACAGTATGGTCATGTCCTGGCTCATTACCTCAATGACTCCTAAAATCGGAGAGAATTTCTTTCTCTACGAAACTACTCATGAAATCTGGAAGACAGCACAGGAACTCTACTCCAGCAAGCAAAATACCTCTGCAATATTCGAAATCGAGTCAACTCTTCATGACCTTCGACAAAGAGAACTCAGTGTCATCCAGTATTACAGTATCCTTAGTCGAAATTGGCAGCAGATGAACGCCTTCGAAGAGCGTCACTGGAACTGCCCCGAAGACACGAAAAACTTCAAAGTCTTTGTGGAAGAAAAGCGAGTCTTCAAATTCCTGCTATGGCTAAACAAAAATCTCGACGCGATTCGGGAACGTGTTCTGAGCACCAAACCCTTGCCGAGTCTTCGAAAAATTTTTTCTAAGGTTCGACGCGAGGAGAATCGTTGGAAGATCATGATGGGAGAGAATGACCAACCTCACCGGACTAAAAATTCTTCAGCTCTCACAACCCGAGCGATTGACAGTTGAACGAAGAAGACAAGGCCCTGGTGCGACCACTGTCGGAAGCAAGAGCACACTCGGGAACGTTGCTGGAAGCTTCACGGCAAGGCAAGTGACTGGAAACCACCTTCGGGTGAGTGAAAAATGTCGAAAGCAGAGACCTCCAGCAAGCTTTGAGGAAATCACGTGACGGCTGAGGAAGTAATTTTTTATGAGATGGGAAAAGACCCATTTACCCCTGAACAGTTGGAAGCCCTCCAACAAATCTTGTCCAAGAAATCTCACTCGGTCAATGCCTCTGTGGCACACAAAGTTAATATTCATGATTTATTTGCTCTTTTAGAAAAAGGACAGGTGTGAGTGGTAGACTCTGGAGCATCTAATCATATGAGTGGCGATTTTTCAATGTTCCAAAATTACAGAAGATGTGAAGAAAATATTTCAATCAAAATTGCAGATGGTTCTCTCTCAAAAGTGGCAGGAATGGGGTCTGTAAATTTGTCTCCAAATTTGACTCTCTGTTCAGTTTTCCATGTTCCGAATTTGGATTGTAATTTGTTGTCTGTCAGCAAACTATGTGAAGATTTGAAATGTGCTGCAAAATTTGTTTATAATATGTGTAATTTCCAGGATTTGGACTCGGGGAGGACGATTAGCAGTGCTAGGATGAGCTCGAGATTATATTTGTTTCAAGTCAACACCTCTAAAAGACAAACTCACAATGCAGTATGTGAAAACTCTATTCCTATTTCCAAAAATAATGATCATGATATTATGTTGTGGCACTATAGACTAGGACATCCAAACTTCATGTACTTAAAAAGAATGTTTCCACTACTATTTAAAGGAAAAGATCTAGTTTCATTACAGTGTGAAGTTTGTCAATTTTCTAAACATACTCGAAGTTCATTCCATAGTCTACCATATAAACCATCTAAACCATTTGCATTAATTCACAGTAATGTTTGGGGCCCTTCCAAGGTTTCCAACGTTTCCAGAACTAGGTGGTTTATATCTTTTATTGATGATCATACAAGAATTACTTGGGTATTTCTCATGAAGGAAAAATCTGAAGTCGAATCCCTATTTAAAAAATTTCATACAATGATTCGAACCCAATTTCATGCTACCATCCAAGTATTGAAATCCGACAATACTTGTGAATATTTTGAAAATACTCTTGAAAAATACTTTACTGAACATGGTATTATTCATCAAATCTCCTGCATTCATACTCCACAGCAAAACGGCATACCCGAAAGAAAAAACATACATATTCTTGAGGTTGCTAGATCTCTCATGTTCACCACACATGTACCAAAATATCTTTGGGGAGTAGCTGTCCTTACAACTACCTATTTGATTAATCGGATGCCTTCCCGTATTCTACAGTTTCAATCATCATACACTATTCTCTCAAAAATCTTTCTTGATTCTCACATCTTAAACACTTTGCCACTTAAAATATTTGGGTGTTTAGCATATATCCACATTCATATACATCTTCGTGAAAAATTAGACCCAAGAGCAATAAAGTGTATTTTTGTTGGGTACTCAGTAAATAAAAAAGGATACAAATGTCTAGTTCTAGAAACCTGCCGATTTTATAATACCATGGATGTCACTTTTTTTTAGAATCAACCATTTTATCCCACCACTGATATTCAGGGGGAGACATTCACTCAGGAATATCAGTTGTGGGATGTGTATGTTCCACCTCTCTACCCACAAAATCCATCACCAGACAAACCTTCATTGGAGATTGAACCCGAAACCTCACAAAAGAAATCAGAACCAAAATCTGTTATAGAAAGCCCATTACCTACAACGAGTGAGTTACGTGTCTATATAAGAAGAAACAAAGGAAAATCACCCGAATCATCCAAACACTGCCATGAATTCCCCACTATTCCAGGTAACGTAATTTTTGTACTAACTCTTGATTCCGTTGATTCTGATATTCCTATTATTTTGAGGAATGACACTCGAACATGCACCAAATATCCTATACAGGACTATGTTTCATTGGACAAATTATCCTTAGAACATCATGCTTTTGTGAGCAGGATAGACAGCAGTTCACCTGAACCTAGAACAATACATGAGGCCTTGGAAATTCCAGAATAGAAGTTAGCTGTCCTAGATGAGATCAGGGCACTTGAAAAGAATGAAACATGGGAACTAACTGATCTTCCTCCAGGAAAGCGTCAAGTAGGATGTAAATGGGTTTTTACAATCAAATATAATACAGATGGAAGTGTGAACAGGCTTAAGGCCCGCCTGGTAGTCAAAGACTATACACAATCATATGGTATAGATTATCAGGCACAATATTATTCGGGTACTCCTCTCACTTGCATCTAACATTGACTGGCCACTGTATCAATTAGATGTAAAGAATGCATTCCGTAATGGCGATTTGGAAGAAGAAGTGTATATGAATATACCATCAGGGTTCGAATTAACTAACTCTCAGAAAATGTATAAATTGAAGAAATCACTTTATGCCCTAAAACAATTTCCAAGAGCATGGTTTGACATATTCACAAGAGCTGTAAAACATAAAGGATATGAACAATGTCAATCCGACCATACATTGTTCGTCAAACATTGCATATCAGGTAAAAAGGTTATTTTGATTGTGTATGTTAATGATATCATTCTTACAGGAGATTATCTTGAGAAGATTCAGAAACTTAAAAAATTCCTGTCCAAAGAATTTGAAATAAAAGATCTTACAGCACTAAAGTACTTCCTCGGTATGGAAGTAGCTAGATCAAAAAAGAAAATTTCAGTTTCTCAACGAAAGTACATTCTGAATCTCCTAAAGGAGACTGGGATGCTAGGAAGCAAGTCTGCTGATACCCCTATGGACTCAGTCATCAAACTTGAATCCAAAATCAATAATAAAATGGTTGACAAAGGGAGATACCAAAGACTTGTTGGGAAACTTATTTACTTGGCTCACACAAGACCAGACATCAGTTTTGCAGTAAATACAGTAAGTCAGTTCATGCATCAGCCAACAAAAGATCACATGAGTGCTGTATATCGGATTCTGAGGTATCTCAAGAAAACTCTAGGACAAGATTTATTCTTTCAAAAAACAGACATAAGGGGTGTTAAAATTTACACGGATGCGGATTGGGTAGGTTCTACAAACGACAAGAGATCTACATTAGGATATTGTACCTATGTTTGGGGTAACCTGGTTACCTGGAGAAGCAAGAAACAGTCAGTTGTGTCTCGCAGCAGTGCAGAATCTGAATTTAGAGCGCTCGCTCATGGTATTTGTCAAGGTGTATGGTTGAAGAGAATACTTGAAGAATTAAAAGTCTTCAACAATATGCCCATGAAAGTATGGTGCGACAACCAATCAACAATTACTATGGCCAAAAATTCAGTACATCACGATAAAACTAAACATGTGGAGATTGATCGTCATTTCATTAGAGAAAAATTGGAAGATGGTACTATAACTCTGATGCATATTTCAATCAATCAACAGATCGCAGATATTCTAACTAAAGCTCTTCCTAAGAGACCCTTTGATGACATAATATCCAATCTAGGTTTACTCAACATATACGTAAACTAGATTGAGGGGGAGTGTAGAAAATATAATAATTAAAAGAATAAATTAGGATTAAAAATGGTTATTTACAAATGTTATGTGCTGTAAATAGAGAAAGCATTTACAGCTGTTATGTGCTGTAAATGGAGGGAATCACCAACAAATTTGTCCTTAGAAACAGAATTTTGTTAGGTTTCTCTCCAGAATTTGTTAGATTGTTAGAGTAGTAAACTTTTATATATATGTGTGGAAATCATTCATCAAAGAAAGGAAGAATATTTTCTCTCAATTTTCTTCACTACCAAGCATACATTCATATGTGTATATATATATATATATTGAAAAGGAAACATGTATGAAACACAAGCCAAGGGGAGCCTGATACAAATTTTAAAATCTTTTAACAGAAAAGATGAAGGTTCTGTCTACAGGCTATGACAAATAATTCATTTGGCTGATGCCTAAAGATTAATCGTAGCTATATTGAGCAAATAGATAACATTTAGCCAACATCCCTTTTTCTTTTGGATGGAATCTAAATATTAGGATAGGACTGCATAAGTTGGGGATAGAACCCCTACCCACTCCATCTAGAAGTGAAGGTCTCTAGTTATTTGCCAATTTGATATTAGTAATGTCATTAAGGATGACAATATTTTTATTTAAAAAAAATTAAGGATGACAAGATAAAATGATGGCCATGTGGGAATGGGGGGAAAAGTATTTAAGTTTTGAGGACATGAAATCATGACCAGATGGCCATCATGGATGCTGAGCGAAAAGCATGTTGTTTAAGACACTCATGCGATGGCAACAATGTAATGGAAGATGCAATGCATATCATTAAATACAACTTAGGTTGTGCACGCCTAAAATTAAGGAGGATTGACACCATCCCCATGCCACTACCTGAAAGGACAGGGAAACACTGTAACCTTTCCACATATATAGGAGAACCAACATGCTTGACCTCTATGACAATCAAAATAAACAAATACGCACTTCTTGTTGCAGTCAGCACGAGAAGATAGGTCAACCGTCCATATCTGCCAAGCTAATTGTCCTGATGCAGCCGCCAAGAATGCATAAAATGGCCACCCTACTCCACAATGAATTATGCAAAATAAATTAATTAGAAAACCGTTATCATAAGATGAAACACTTTTAATCAAAAAATTTAAAGAGATTGAAAAAGGAAGCACTTACCAATATCAGCATTATATCCACTAAGAGCAAGACTACTGATGCATGCAATTCCAAACCCAGTAATCCACTTCGTGGTTGAATCGCCAAATCTTAAAGCTGTAGATTTAACACCAACTTTCACATCATCTTCTTTATCCTGAATACATGGTTATCAATTTATTTCATTAATAAAGAAAAAGAAAAGCATAGGCCATAGAGAAAATGTCCAAGTGAAAAACAAAAAAACCACAGATGCATTCATGGCTATGCAACTGAGGTAGTAAAGACCGTATTATCTTTTCTTTTCTTGGAATGCTAAGTACTAATATTAATATTTTTCATGTATTGTTTCAAATTTCCTGCTACTTTATATATTTTATATAAAGATTAAATTTAATACACAAAACATATACAAAATACTGTAACAGAAAACACCAAGAAAAGTTATCATTAGATCTTATGATGGGTTTTAATTAGCGAACAAAATTGAATTTCAGAAGCAACAGAATTAAATTACAGGATGAGAAAAATAAAATGGTAGTGTAGGAATTAGAAAAACGAAGATAAAATGACTTGAATGATAAAGAAATACGGAAATATTAGGGTCTGAAGATAATGATCTGGCAATTAAAAAAAAATTATTTAGAAAACCTAGCAACAAAAATAGATTAGCAAAACTCCCTTTCAAGCCTAATAACCTAATTTAACTTTTTAAACTAATACCAGCTTAGATGCAATTTCTCAGCCCATAGGTCCAGTACAACCAGTTTTCACCAATATTTTATCAGGTGACAAGTTGCGCATGTACCATTGTACTGCAGGCACTTCTGGGCTGGTTTTTACTTCTTTGATGCAAACACATAAAAAAACTGCACTATCCCATCCTCCCTCCATCTCCCCTCTTCCCCAGAAAAAAAAAAGAGAATAAGCGTAAGAAA